TTTTACGGTAGTTATGAAGGCACTTAGCTGTAAAAAAGGAACTATATTCTTGATATTATTTGCCCAGCCTTCATGACAAAAAGTATAGTTATTAATCCAATATCTGGAAGACCTTATCCAGTTAAGAAAAACTTTTCATCAAATCAAATATTAGTCTCCCCTATCTAAATTTCCTTCTTAGATGCCTTAGTGCTAAACACAGTTTAGTAGCTTTTATTATTAGCTAGTTGTTTTTATTATTAGCTAGTTCTCTGCTTTACCAGACATCCAAGATACTAGGGTAGAGAGTGGAATCATATAGGATTTTTTTTAATGCATGGGCTATTTTTATATATGATCTGTTAAAGTATCTGCTGCAGCTTGAATGCTTTTGACAGGTGCTTGCTAGATCACCTGTAATATATACAAATCAAAATACCAATGTCAGGGGTGCTTTGAATGCAATTTTCCTGCTTCTTGGCAGGGGGTTGGACTGGATGGCTCACAAGGTCTCTTCCAGCTCTATGATTCTATGATCCATGTACAGCTCAGATGACTGAAGTTTACAATGCTAAGCCTACTACCTACACTAGGATATTTAGTGAGACATTTCTGAGTAGTGTACATTTGGGATAGTATTGTGTGACTGCAGCATTGTATGTGCTTATCTGGATATAAGACACCCATAGAATTGAATTGAAGTGTAAAAGGTACTTGAAATATTACACTGTGTAACAAAATTTGAAACATTTTCTGTTCCTGGTTTGAAAGTGTTATTTCCTGATTAAATGTATACTCAAGTATAAGCTGAGTTTTTCAGCCCCCTTTTTAGGCTGAAAAAGCCCCCTTCAGCTTAGCCTCAAGTCAAAGTTATTTATTATTTTACTCTGTTATTATTATTATTACATTTATTATTTTACTCTAATTATTATTATTATTACATTTACATTATTTTACTCTATTAGTATTGGAAGGATACGTAAGTACATTTGCACTAAAGAAGGTTAGAATAATCGATTAATCAGAGTTGGACAGTCTTATCTTAAATTAGTGTTTTGTGGAAATATTCAAAAACATTTAACCTACTGATGCCTCAATTAATGTAATTGTATTGGTATCTATTTTTATTTTTAAATTTACCAGTAGGTGCTGCATTTCCCACCCTCAGCTTATATTTGAGTCAATACATTTTCCCAGGCTTTTTGGGGTAAAATTAGTTGCCTCGGCTTATACTCGGGTCAGCTTATACTCGAATATATACGGTACTTTGAAAGTTGTTGTTATACTGCAGAAACTTCATTTTTGTTTTTTATCCTTCTGTTACCTGAAACCTAAAAAATTGTAACTTTCCTTCATGAAAATGTACAATTTTAACCTTAATCAAGTTTTTGCAGTTTAATAAACTTTTTCCATGTTTTTATCATAGAATCAATTAGAAAATTATATATATAACCCAGGAACAAACGTCATGTTACATAGTGTTGTCATTTCTCTTTCTCATTTTGTTTTATTTCTTTGGTTTGAAGTATTCAGAAAATACATCACAATTGTTTTTGGGAGATACCACATGAGGCAATTCTTTAGAGTTATTGGAAAAGCTTTTAGATCCAAAAAGTTCAGGACTCTCTCAGAGTCAGGTGAAATGTAAAAGGCGCTGGGAAATTCTCATGTTGTAATTCTCAGTGTTCCAACAGTACGCTTTCTTTCTGTGCCTTCTTTTCTAGGTCGTCCCACGATTTAATAGTAAAGGGGAAATAGTTAAAGCACAAATCATGAATGTGAGCTGGTCAGCGGATCACAGAATCATTGATGGCGCAACCATGTCCCGTTTTTCAAACTTGTGGAAATCCTACTTGGAGAACCCCGCTTCGATGCTGTTGGATCTTAAGTAAAGGAGACTAAGGCCTGGACTCAGTTTTTAACTGTGGAACTATCAAGCTGGCACTGCTAGCGTGACCTTAAGAACTACTACATTTCCTAATCTATGATTACCTTGTGTAACAACTAGGACTTTCAGACAGTGGCCACGACGCTGGTTATCTGTTACATTCTGTCTGGTTGAGCAGCTTGATGGTAAATTATTTGGTGGAAGATTGTCGTCAAGTCATGATATGACTCCTGTTAAGGTAGTGAGAAATCTATGGTGATTTAAAATGCTTTATAGTCACATGACCAGAAGAAGGCTGCTAAGATTTCTGGATTTATAGACTGCTTGTGCTGTACACAAAATTAATTATGTTGAAACATATTTCCAATTGGAAATAAAAGTTTCTAGTTGAAGTATTAAAAAATAAAATCTAAGGGGATGTTGCCAAATTTCTATTGCATCTAATGCCTTAGAAAAAAATTGAAACAAAAAGCCTTTTATTTTATTACATATTTTAGACATGGCCTTTTCTTGCTTAACAGTTCAAACTTTCCTTTTCTTTTTAAAAATGGCCTTTACACCAAAAATACTTCTTGCTGCAGGTGTCTGTTGAAATTTACAAATACACACCGTGTAGCATGCAAAACCCACAGTGCTTCCCTTTGGAAGGAAAAGCTGTATGCCACATATAGAATCGCACATGCATTTTGAAGATAGGAACTTGGTTCTTGGGTGTTTCAAGGAACACTAAAGCTGCATATAGTATGCAGATATCTATATGGTAATGTGCAAAGCTGCTCCTGGTGGAGAGATCTTTGCAATATTCAAGAGTATTGTGTTGTTGAAGGCTTTAATGGCCGGAATCACTGGGTTGCTGTGAGTTTTCCGAGCTGTATGGCCATGCTCCAGAAGCACTCTCTCCTGACGTTTCGCCCACATCTATGGTAGGCATACTCAAGAGGTTGAGGGGTCTGTTGGAAACTAGGCAAGTGAGGTTTATATATCTGGAATGTCCAGGGTGGGAGAAAGAATTGTAGTCTGCTTGAGGCAAGTGTGAATGTTGCAATTGGCCACCTTGATTAGCATTTAATGGCCTTGTAACTTCAAAACCTGGCTGATTGCTGCCTGGGGGGATCCTTTGTTGGGAAGTGTTAGTTGACCCTGATTTATTCTTGTCTGGAATACCCCTGTTTTATTAGTGTTGCTCTTTATCTACTATCCTGATTTTAGAGGGTTTTTAAAATACTGGCAGCCAGATTTTGTTCGTTTTCATAGTTTCCCCCTTTCTGTTGAAATTGCAGCTTCAAAGCCAGGCTTTGAAGCTGCAAGGCCATTAAAAGCTAATCAAGGTGGCCAGTTGCACTTGCTTCAAGCAGACAAAAGTTCTTTCTCCCACCCTGGATATTCCGCAGATATATAAACCCCACTTGCCTAGTTTCCAATAGACCTCACAGTCTTTGAGGATGTCTGCCATATATGTGAGCAAAATGTCAGGAGAGAATGATTCTGGAGCATGGCCATACAGCCCAGAAAATTCACATCAACCCAATTCAAGAGTAGGTTGGAAAACCTGTAGATCAAAGAGATGTATCTTGACTGAAGACTCAGAAATAAATAGTATTTTCCCCAGATGCTTTAGAGAATGGATTTCTGGAGGTTGCAAAGGGCCAAGTTAAACTTGGATAATTCTTGATGCAAGATATTAAGGTGCAATTGATACTCCTTATGAAATGAATGTCACAAGACTTTTGAAGGAGTAATGATCATGCCACATGGTTTTCTATTCTCATATACTCTTGTGAACAAATGTAATATATGAAGGAGGCCTTTTCTACCTTCTCTGGAAGATTCAGTCTAGCTGATCTCTGTAGCCGTAATCATAATCGCACACTTTCAGCTATAACAATTATGGGATTTCTAATAATTCATATATTACATCAGCCCAAATAAATGCATAAATGTGAACGTCTGAGGCTTTAAAAGAGAGAAGCAAAGGCATAAGCTGCCTTGAATGTACAAACAAAAAGCGTAAATGAAATATATTTTTTCAGATATATTGGGCTCAAAATAGCCTATTTGATTTCAGATTAAGATTTCCCACAGCATGACTGGAGTTCACACTCCATTTTGTTACACACATGTTTTGGTCAAAGGTATAATGCAAACAGGCCCTAAAAGTAAATGAAACTTCAAATAAAAATATCAGGTTGCAGACAAATAATACGGAGACGCACAGCCATTTGGGAAAATTAAAATGAAGCATCCTTCATCAAAATCATATTAACAAATTGTTGCACAGTTACTTGCCTTGTTCATTTTTAAACAATCCTATTCTCTTTCCAATAGTTTATTTGGGTGTTGAAAAAAATCATAAAATTTGTGAAGATAAGTTGAGGTAAAGTACAGAATGTCAGGATAGAGTTTTATATATATATATATATTTGTTTCTCTGAGGAACAACAAGGAGCAATGTGAAATGATAATGTTCTTCCTGATTTTTAAAAAAGACAGTGTATACTACCTTAACATTTCTTTTTCATTGTTTTATATACTTCAGTAAATCTCCTTTTATTATTACTTGTCTGGTTTTAGACTTTTATCTGAAGAATTGTGTGGCTTTAGATTCTCCAGTAACATAAATCCACATCTCTGGATATGCCCCATCTATCTTTAGTGTTGTGCAAGAAAGAAAAACTGTTGGGCTTCTTTGTAGAATTACAGGAAAATAGTGTAAAATAACATTTTCCGCAACATGCTCTTTTAAATTATGTATGCATGTTTGTTGTTAATTTGTTCAATCACTTCTGACTCTTTATGACCTCATGGACCAGCCCACGCCAGAGCTCCCTGTCAGCCGTCACCACCCCCAGCTCTTTTTATAACTAAAATAACTAGGTTAAGAGACACTGGGACATTTTTAATATATTTATAACAATGACTTTTCAAAGAAAGGAAGAAAATTCTATGGTTCATGTTTCAGTGTCTGACACTCAAAGCATGCCACTGTTGCAGTTACAGAAACAAAGTCCCTAGCAGAAACTTTTAAAAAGTCATGTCAAAAGTGACTTGAGAATACTGCAAGTCGCTCTGGTGTAAGAGAATTGGCAGTCTGCAAGGACATTGCCCAGGGGATGCCCGGATGTGTTACCATCCTGTGGGAGGCTTCTCATGCTCCGACATGGGAGGCTGGGGTTGATAGATGGGAGCTCACCCCATCTTACAAGAACCGCAGACCTTCAGGTCTTCAGGTCAGCAGTTTAGCCAGCACAAGGGTTTAACCCATTGCACAACCGCAGCTCCCTAGAAAAACAATGAACTGATATAAATGAAAGGTATTTTGGATGAGTGCTTCTAGCAGTGGAAATTCTGGATATATTATCGCCATATAGGTCCACAGCTATGGGATCTCAGTAATAAGACTGTGGATGTGAAATGTCTTAAGAATTATGGATTGCTTGTTGTCTGTAAGATACTCACACTACAATTTATTTGGACTGCTTTATTCTTTGATGTGTGAATGAATCTGCACAAATACTGTTTCAGATATCATTGCAGTGATATCACAAAGAGATATACCAAATTCTCAGTTATGCCACCCTATATGATATAGTAATATCTTCCTGACTATTACACGTAGCAGTCTTTGTCCAGCGCAAGAGACTTTTCTTGGCATCTAGAAACATGACGGCAAGTTCTGAAAAACAGATTTGAAATTAGGAAATATTTCAGGAGTGTATGGCATCTGAATACAGCAGCACCTACTATTCCAAGCCAGCAGTGTGGTTAAAATTAGATCTGGCATTGCATTTCAGTCTGCCCTACTCGGTGCACGGTTTGTAAATGACTTCAGCACGGCAGGCGAGATTCATGACAGCTTCCAGTTGTTGCGTCAAAACCGATGAGCCACGCAAAACCAAGCAATGATTTAGGTAAGATCCTATCTTGTTCCTATCTTCACAAAGGATATGTTAATCTGTATGTTCCTATCTTCACAAATCTGTATGTTCCTATCTTCACAAAGGATATGTTAATCTGTTGATTGAATTTTGTGTTGCTTTGAACTAAACACTTTATGTGTCTGGCGGTTCATGATCAATGTTTTGTCAAGCAATTGTAAGAAAGGCAAATGAGGAAAATGACTGTTGCTCTTTTTACTTTAGATATTTCCTGCTGAAGGACATTTTAAGTACAGGGATCTCCTGTCTGCAGTGGTAACGGAGACGAAATGATCTAGATGTCTAATCAGAATGCAGACGAGCCATGACAGAAACGACAGTTTGCGTTGGCTTGTTTACATCCGTCAAAGCACTTTGGGAAGTCAGGATCCAGAAGATAAATGAACAGCTTCAAAAAGAAAAGGAGGTTCAACAAAGGGTTGCAGGGAGGTAGGTACTCATTCGAATTTGGGGATTGTAGGAGCAGGAGAGTAAGAAGAAAGGTGCTTTTGATCTCATTTTGATCAGATTCCATCGGTGATCTGGAAGGATGTCGGTGCCGAAGGAAGGAAGCAAAGGGGAAGTTATTTTACAGCACATGGGTGCACATCAGTGGTCTAGGATTCCTTCAGGACTTTAACATGTATGCAGTCACTCCTCTAAGTTTGCAGTTTTGACATTTGAGGATTTGATTATTCATGAATTTGATTTATTCGTATTTACCCTATTTATACCCCGCCTTTCCCTACCCCGAAGGGGACTCAAGGTGGGCTTACACAGAGGCAATTATTCAGTGCCTTAAAACACATACAACTCCAAAATATTAAAATTAAATGTAATACATATTAAACATTTAAAAACATTGCATTCCATATTTAAATCATGCCATCTATAATTGTAGTCCAAGCCATTCCATAGTCCAAATCTGTTATTGCACTGCACTATTCTCTGAAATCCTGATCCCACATCCAAGTTCTAACTTTTCTTCTGAAGCCTAAAATGTCTAAAATGTTAACATTTAAAATGTTCTCTCTAGGAATATCTATGTCTTCTAGTGTGACTGTATGGTAAACTCTTCTAGTCATGCAGGAGGACCTAGAAATTGTTAGAGACAACGCCTTTCTAGGAATCTGTGTGATTTGATATTCAGCTTCCAGCAGAAGTTGATCATAGAATTGCGCCGGAAGATTAGAAATTCCTAGAGAGGTGTGCTCTCAAATAAAAATAAATAGCAATGTAGTTATTTGTAGATTTTTCACTTTCATGGCAGTCCTGTTACTCTAACCCCAGCAAATTTGAAAGGCTGACTGTACTGATTTATTCACAAACAAGTATCTTTGCCTGATCTGTGCCAAAACATGTGGCTTAAGACATTTTGGAATCTAAAGTTGGAAATCTTGGGCAGCAAGGAAGAGTTATATGAAAAGTATGCAACTTTTCTACCGTAGGTTGACTGTTGCTTGGGAAGAGAGGGCTAGCTTTGCCAAACTGAAACAAAAAGTCATCACTGAAAATGGAAGGGCTGTTTTAAGAATTGAACAAGAAGAATGGAAGGTAATGTCCATGTGACACTACTAATAACAGATCCCAATGGTTATTATAGTTTTTGGTGCTTTGCCCATTTTGTTTAATTATTTTATGCAAGAGTCAAGGGTCTGCATGCTGGAGTTTTATTTGCTTGATGGTCCATTTTTTCATAGAGTGTATTATACAATGTCAGACATTTGTGTGTAAAATTATGTATATGCACTATGTAGATTGTGTAGAACAATATACTGTTAAGTTTTTTTTGTTGTTGTCCTTGTTAGAATATTAAATGTTATTATATTGATCTTCTGTGTTGTTAAAATATTAAATGTATTTGCATTTTTAGTCAAACTTGATTGATCTGATATACTCAGCGATTCACCCACTCCCTCCTTTTATCTCTTACCAATCTAGGCAGTACCTTCTTGCTTGCTGAAACTGAACCACCTCCAGGAATGGCAACTTCACAGAGTTAGTTTGGTAAAAATCCCTCAGTTTATTGGCCGCTTTCAAAATCTCCTTGTTCTAGATCTCTCTCGAAATTCCATCACAGACATTCCCAGGGAGATCGGTGAGCTGAAAAATATTTTTGTTGTTGTTACCTCTCACTTTCTGTTCTAATGCAGCAGGTTTGACTGAGTCTCGGGATTAGATTCTTGGTTGGATTTCAAAAATAAAATAAAATTTCACTCCTGAAGAATGTGGTGTTCGAAACATGTTGGGATTCTTGATGTTTTAATAAAAAATGGCTGCGATTCTACATCAGGAAACACACATCTGGCACAAAGCATTCCTGAGAATAACTCCAGGCGTGTATGGTTTTAATAAAACCAATACTATTAAAACATATTAGGTCTTTAAAGTGCCATAAGGTCTTCCAGTGTTTTGGGAGAAAATAAAAATAAAAATTGAACCCAGTCTATAAAAGCTAGACCCTAATCCTCTTTATTTTCTTTTAATATCTACCTCTAACACAGCGTTTCTCAACCTGGGGGTCGGGATCCCTAGGGGGCTCACAAGAGGGTTTCAGAGGGATCGCCACAGACCATCAGAAAACATATATTTCTGATAGACTTAGGAACCTCTTTGGCAGAGAAGGCTGAAGATGTCTCCGGCTGTCCTTCTCTTTCTTTTTGGAAACAGATGGCGGATCCTCCCACCAAAAGCCCTCCTCCGCTTTCAGCCAAGGGGAGCGCTGTTTCTGAGACTTCAAGCGAGGAAGAGAGAGCGTGCTCAGTGCATGGCGGCATGGTGCAAATGTGTGTGAGGGAGAGCATGTGAGGCTGGAGGGAGGCTCATGCCAGTGAGTCCCTTCAAGGCGTGGGGGTTCTGTGTGGGAAGTTTAGCCCAATTTTATCATTGGTGAGGTTCAGAGTGCTCTTTGATTGTAGGTGAACTACAAATCCCAGCAACTACAACTTCCAAATGTCAAGGTCTATTTTTTGCAAACTCCACCAGTGTTTTTTAGTATTCGTGCCAAGTTTGGATTAGGGTTAGACTACATCTCTGGATGTAGGTGAACTACAACTCAAAAATGCAAGGTCAATGCCCACCAAACCCTTCCAGTATTTTCTGTTATTTATGCAAGTTCTGTGTGCCAAGTTTGGTTCAATTCCATTGTTCGTGGGATTCACAATGCTCTTTGATTGTAGGTTAACCATACATCCCAGCAACTCCAACTCTTAAATAACAAAATCAACCCACCCCCCAACCCCATCAGTATTCAAATTTGGGCATATCAGTATTTGTGCCAAATTTGGTGCAGTGAATGAAAATACATCCTTCATATCAGATATTTGCATTAGCATAATTACAGTTATGAAGTAGCAAGAAAATAATTTTATTGTTGAGGAACTGTATTAAGGGGTTGCGGCATTAGGAAGGTTGAGAAACACTGCTCTAACAGGTTGCTGTTTGCTGAAAAACAGCACTGTTTGCAAATAGCTATTAGTTCCTTTTTTTATAACATTGGTTTTGTTTGTCATTTCTGCAGGTCAGTTGACAAATCTCCAAGAGCTGAACCTCAGTTATAATAAAATTAAATCCATTCCTAAAGAACTAAGTAACTGCGTCAGCTTAGAAAGGCTGGAACTGGCTGTGAACAGAGACATTTCGGACCTTCCCCATCAGGTCTGGTGCAAATATTTTCTCCCCGTTACCACCAGGGCCAAGCAGTGCTGCCAAGTTATTTTTCAACATTCATAAAAATAGCATCTCATTCTTCCTCTTCATTACAATCCAAGCTTTTGGTCTCACAAAAGATTGTTTATGGGGCTGTATTATTGCTCAGATACTTTCTTCTTTTCCTTAGCTCAGTGATATGAAGAAACTCTATCACCTAGATCTCAGCATGAACCAATTTACCACGTTCCCTTCAGTCATCCTGGTGATGCCCAACTTGGAATGGTTAGACATGGGAAGCAACAAACTGAAAGAAATCCCTGACAACATTGACAGGTAAAATCCATCTTCGTTACTTAAGTCTAAAAATATTTAATAGCAATGGTAAGTTATTGAAATAAAATGTCTTCTTACCTAGAATTAAATATACTGCTGTATAGGCAAACAACATTGTACCGTATAACAGAACAGATGCAAATAGTTTGAATTGTGAGCTTCAAGTTGTTAAGCAGATAAACTTTAAACTATCGTATATCACGGTATAATAGTTGCCACAGCACAATCGTCATATCCCTTTTTCTGGCTCTAGAAATGACTTCCAGTCTTTCTTTGCATAATCAACACATGTAACACGACTAGGACGGTGTATTTAAATGGTGTATTTTAATATTTTGATAAATGTTTTTTAATGTTTATGTATTGTATGTGAATTTGTGACCTGGCATTGAATATTTGCCATGTATATGCTGTGCTCTGCCCTGAGTCCCCTTTGGGGTGAGGGCAGAATATAAATGTTTTAAATAAATAAATAAATAAATAAATAACACAGCCATTTGGGGCTCAGATTCTCCCTCCTTCCTTTCTTCAAAGCAAGACAGTTTTTTAAAACCCCAGAAACTACTACTACTACTATTACTACTACTACTACTACTTTCTTGGAGGTAAGACTTTTTTTTTTAAAAAAAAAACAACCTAGGAATGAGAATTGATGGCGGTTTTTTTCATCAAGTAATAGTCGCACCATTTTTTGTCAAAAAAGGATTTAAAAGTGTGACTATTATGTGATGAAATACAGTATCCTTTATTGATCTATAGACTTTTTCTGAATGTCTACAATTCCGCATGGCTCAGCACAATAGCTCCATATTCACAACTATGCAGTGCTGAGCCATTTACCACTAACTCAATTTACTATAGAGCTGTTGCCAGTCCTTTCCCTGGCAATTTGTGACTGGTGAAAAATGAAGGGAATCACAGAAACATCTGGCTATATCTCTATAAGAAATGCAATTTCATAATCTACTGAGGACTCCTGGGTTCCATATGAATTACTCAGAAGTGGATATGCATATTATGCTCACATTCTTGTATCATTGTGGCAACACAAAGGAATTCCATATCTGAAGAAGCTGCAGCAATTATAGCTACATATTCATTCAAGTGATTTCCATCATAATGAACACATCTGTTTTGAGTTTACAGAGCTGAAAACCTACATACTTTGTGGCTGCAGAGGAATGAGATAACTCATTTACCAGAATCCATTCGAAACTTACAGAACTTGAGCACCTTGGTTCTCACCAGCAACAAACTCCAAGATATTCCTGTTTGCATGAAGGACATGCCAAACCTGAGGTGAGTGTAAAGCCATTGCTTCATCTGGCATGCCTATGCTTTTAAATGCACTTTCAAGTGTTTGCTGCTTCCATTCGTGTCTGCTCTAGACGCTCACTGAGTGCAAGGGCCATTCTTGCTACTTATGGGCATGTCTTGTTCAGAGGAACACTTTAGATGAGATACAAAAAGCTGGATTATATATTACAATGTAAAAGCATAGCTTTAAAAGCTAACTTTTTTTTTTAAAAAAAGGAGCATCAATTACAAGACATATTTTGGATGTGATGCTAGATCATAGCTACTTTAAAATAAAAACATGTTTTCCTTGAGCCCATGTGAGCCCATGACTCAAACAAGCTTAACACGAAATTATAATTTAATAACACAAAGTTAACTGTGTTGGAAATGCTCAATCATAATTTAAAAGAATAAAGCATATGGTGCTAATTTTTTCAAATTGAGAATCTGATTATTAGACCTGAAAGTGCCTCGCATTTTTTATTTTTTCCCTTTAATATCTGTATCCAGATTTGTCAACTTCAGAGACAATCCCCTAAAGCTGGATGTAAAACTTCCCCCTTGTGAGAACGAAGAGGAGGAGGAAGAACGAGAATTGTATGGAATTCAGTTCATGCATGCTTACATTCATGAGTCGCTCGGCATAAAAGGTATCTCTTTTTACAATTAATGTTTTTTCGTGTCAGGAGTGACTTGAGAAACTCCCAAGTCACTGCTGGTGAGAGAATTGGCTATCTGGGTTGTTGTAGGATTTTCGGGCCATCTGTAAAGACATTGCCCAGGGGATGCCTGAATGTTTTGATGTTTTACCATCCTTGTAGGAGGCTTCTTTCATGTCCCTGCATGGGGAGCTGGAGCTCATCCGCCCTCTCCCTGGATTCGAACCTCTGACCAGTCGGTTTTCAGTCCTGCTGGCACAAGGGTTTAATAAGGGTTGAAACCCAGTCTCAGTTCAGTCAAGAAAATTATCTTCTTTTGAAACAATGCAGTCTTCTAACCCTTTCCATTCCAATCTCCTTCCTTAGAGAGGAATTGCATAGTGAAAACTAAGACATTTCTCTCTGAGATATGAAAGATCGTTTTAGGACAGTTAGGGGGAAATAGTTGCCATGTGTTCAGTTTTCTTCTCCTCCTTAAAAGGTCTTGGATCTGAGGGCACCTAACAATACAAATAAGTCCCTTCTTCAACCCATCATTCCTCTGCTACAGATCTTGATCATAGCCATTCCTGGCTAGTGGAGAATGGGAGGAAATGCATATAATCCTTTAGGTATTTTTCTATAGCTGAAAGAACCATGACAGGTATCCTTCAGGGCCTCTTAGGAGTTCTCCAGAGGTCACAAAAGATGTCATGACTCTGCATCCAACTATAGCAGTGGTTCCCAACCTTTGGACCTCCAGGTGTTCTGGACTTCAGCTCCCACAATTCCTAAGAACTGGTAAGCTGGCTGGGACTTCTGGGAGCTAAAGTCCAAAACACCTGGAGGCTCAAAGGTTGAGAACCTCTGAAGTATAGGAAGACAGCTGGATGCTTCCTTATCACTCCACCTACTCTTCAGCAGCCAGGAAACTGTGATATTGAGGAATCTGGAGCAGAGGGAAGGGGGATGGCTGGGAGTTGTGAGTTGTGATTGTGTAAGTTGGATTTGCGACATCATGTCAGGATGCTAGACCATATTTGCTAAAGAAAATCAGTGACCCAAGCCAGCCTTAAGTAACCTGGTGTCCTTCAGGGGTAGTCCCCCTCCCTGTCTCACAAAGGTAGAGATGTGACGTTCTGCCCAGCTCATGTATAGGCTGGATTCCAGCTGTTGATGGGCTCCAATTTCTACTCTCTTGCTTTAACATTTCATTGGTCACATCTGTATTTCAATGAAAGTCTTATTTGAAAGAATATGAGTATTTTGAAAGAATATGAGTAAAAGGTTATGTCTTACATTGCTTGGTTTTTCTGGCCAAAGTTACCAAGGGAAGCTTGAAAACTACTCTTCCTGTATCTCTGATTGTGGTAGTTCTAGGGAAATAGTTTTGCACCTGCTTTTGTTCTTTTCCATTTAAAAAGCCACATGACGGAGAGGAACCAGGATTCTAGTGTTCCCCAGTTAAAGTCATCTTGCTCCATGATAGGAAAAAATGACAAACAATCCATGTATGTTTTAGCCACAATATTGATTGAGTCTCCTGCAGTATCTTAACTATGCATTAACTGAAATATGTGATTTGTCTCATAGTTATCAAACAAAAAACAAAATAGAGGACAATCTTCAATAGAAGTGTTTTAATTCTACACAGAAGTAGAGTTCAAAAGCAGTTAAAATAATGTACAAAAGGCTTACAAAACAAGTTAGATAAAATAATAAATACATGTCCATTATTTTAAAATATAAGTTTCTTTGCATGTGTATTTTTACCTTTATGTTTTTTTCCTCTTTTTTAAGATATGGAAAGTGATATTGGAATTGGTTCGAGTGGTGCTGCTGATGCTGCTAATAAGTGAAAAAATATTCTGTGCCAATTTGGGTTTTTGCTGCTATTGGAAGGCAGCTTTCACAGTTCTCCCAAGCAAAGAAGGACTGAGTGACAGCTATATTTTCTTTTACTAAAATATCAAGTTGTTTTATTAGGAATAAGCAAGTGTTTTCATCTTCTTCTGTTACCAGAGGAGATTATAAAAATAATTTGGTAAACAAAATACTGAATCTTAGACTTTTAGAGCCATTTGGTTCTATTGCTACATTACTGTATGTGTCAAATAGTAAACAACAGGATTTTCCCCATTTTCAAGCAGATGAGGTGGACAATTCAGATTGACATGGCACAGCTGTCAAAAGGACATTTTCTAAGGAAACACTGAGGTCTGTATAGTTCTGCAAGACAGCTTCATAACCTCTCTGCCGTAAATATTCAATCCGACCATGATCGATCAACAGTTTGCAACGGCGGCCTATCTGTTTCCGCTCTTCAGCAGTTAATAGCCTAAAACCAAAAGGGGAGAAAAGTGCATTTTAGGTCATAATAATACTAATATTGTTAAGGATCAGAACAGAACATTGGAATTACCTGGGATACTATATAGAACAAAAATTAGCAAGGCAATTTTTGCACATCCTATATTAAAGTAAAGTATAGTTTACTTTAAAACCTTTAACCATATTTCGGCACATAATAGTCACATTTTGGATGGCAAAATTTGTATTTTTGTGTTCCTCACATAATAGTCGCAGAGCCGTTTGGGGCTGATTCCCCCTTCCTTCCTCGACAAGGCACTTTAAAAAACCTAAAATGGGGTCTCTGGAACCTGGATCTTCCCTCTTTCCTCCAAAGAACTCAATTTCCAGGTTTTGTAAACTGCCTTGCCTTTGGAGAAGGAAGGGATCTTTCCTCCTCCTTTCTTTGAGGCAAGGTAGTTTAAACAAACCAAAAAAGGAGCTGTTTGAAGCTGGATCATAGCGTAAGGCAGTTTATTTTATTTTTAAAATCAGAAACCAGAGAATCAAAGGCAGATTTTTTTCATCATGTAATAGTTGCACCAATTTAAAAAGGGATAAAAAGTTTTAACTATTATACAATGAAATACAGTAGTTTTCATTAAATTGCATAATACATTTTGTCACAAAAAAATTTCATCTAACCAACATATCTGAAAGATGCTGGGGTCTACATCTACCCGATCGACACTTCTGTAACACTCACTTTTTCAACAGATTTAAAATAGCAAATGCATGTAGTTGACAGTGACAACATATGGGTTTGTCCTGAAAATGACCACCTACCCTTGAAGGCTATCCCAATTGCTGTCAGCACCATTGTCATCATCTTCATGTTCTTCTTCTTCATTGCTTTGCTCCTCATTCTTTCCATCGGTTGCAGTGTCTTTCCTCGCAGTCTCTCTCAAGCCACATGTTGCCCAGCTTGCCATTCTTCTAAAATAATTGAATTCCGCCGCCCCAAGCCCTGCAGCGGTAAAAAACTCCTGGCCAACATAATGCTTCCAATCACACCTGTGATGGCAACACAGCGCAATGACAATTCCAGCCATGGGACTCCAGTTTTCACTCACAGAATTGGTACAGGTTTCATCAGGGCAAAAAGTTGTTTCACTGGTTTCATCAGTCTTCAAGCGTTTTGGCGCAGGATCTTCCTCTTTGTCATCACAGTGTTTTGCATAGGTTTCAACTAAACATCTCAGTGCAAGGTCTGTGAATACATATGCATTGCTTAAACTGTGTGTTTAGAATTTTATGTTTGGATCTTATTTACATCTCACTGAATTCACATAAACGACACGTGTCAAATTCAAGGCCCGGGGCAAAATTACACCCACCATGTCATTTAATGTGGCCCTCCAGATGCTGGACTACAACTCCTATATTCATTATCATTAGACATCATGACTAGAGGTGATGGGAGCTGTGATACAATAACGTTTGGAAAGAGTGCAGTTTGTTCTGTTGAGTCAGGATGGAACAGTTTGAAGTGAGATACAAGGCCTGTGGATATGATGTCCAACATTAAAATGTCCTTTAACCGTTCCTCAGCCTCAGAGTCACAAGTACTACTGGGTTACAATTCCCATGATCTCAGTCTGCATGGCGGATAATCAAAAGTAATGAGCGCTGTCATTCAGTAACATCCAGGGACCCATATAGGGTAAAAAACAAAGCGCCAACCACTATATTAAAAACTAGTTGGCCCCTGTATCCACAGATTCTCTGTCAGATTCTCTGCATCCACAGATTCTCGGACCATTGAAGGTAAACATGAGGTTGATGTAGCCCTTGATGAAAATGAATTTGACACTCCTGATATAAACCCTTTGTTCATAAATGTATGTACCACACAGTATAGAAAAGCTATTATTTATATTGCCAAATAATCTGTACAGTTAATTGATTTACCCCAAAATAAAATTTAAACAGGGCTGCAGCTTAATATATATGTATGAAGCCACTTGCTAAGTCTTGCTAACTTGTTTCCTCACATTATTTGAATTACCTTTTATATTGCAATTTGTGTGTTCTTAAATTAAACTATAATAAAAGATGTCACAGGATGCTAAATAGCTGGTTTTTTATTTGCTAAAAAGAAAAATCTGTGGATGCAGGCAATATAGGAAGACCACACAGAAGTATATAGCATGCATACTTATACTTTTACTTTGCTTACAGCTTGTACATATGTGTTCCAAATCAGACCTGCCAACATTTCTGCAATGAACAAATACAGTAATGTTGTTCTAAAATTGTGTGCCATGTATTTCTGTGCTCCCACCCTCTGATTTTAGGTAAGCCCCGAAGAAGGCTTTAAGAACTTCTACAGATTTGTCAACTTTTTATGAAATAAATAACAATTCTATTAACATCCTGAGATATGTCTCTCATCAGCTATAGCCAGCATTGTCAGTGGTGAAAGATAACTGAAACTACATTCCAGCAAATCTAGAGAACTACATATCAAATGCACTTTGCTATATATCAAGAAAAGGAATTGAAATATAGATGCACTAAACTCTGTGATCTTTGGCAATTGTATTATTTTAATCAAAACTGATTTCTTAAAATTATTGCTCAGTTTCTGCTGTCTGCTATCAGGCTCTCTAACTCCCAATTGGTTTAGTTAATAGTCAGAAATTATGAGAATAGTAATTTTAAAACATCTGAAAAGCACAAATTCCTGTGATTAATCTCTACCTGTTGCAGCACCACACACGTGTTTTCCAATTCCTACAACAGGGAGCTGTCCTTTTGCAAGAACAGGAACCTTATCTAAAAGGCAGAAAAGAAGAAGCCAAGTCAAAATTAGTACACTGAGTCAGTACCTTTCTGGATTATATAGGTACCCATATACAACAAGCAGTCAAGACAAATCCTGACATTATATACAAATGACACATCACATATAATTTCAACCTATTTCCCATAAAATTTATTTTTTGACTACATCTCCATGAATCTGGAAAAGAACGTGCTCTTTTCCAGCACACTCTGGGACACATACCAGTAGGTCATGAAAACAAGAGACCACTTTCAGTGCGGTACAAACAAAATGTATCAGCACCATCAACACACTTTCTTTGTCAAATGTGTCCAAACTGCATAACTGAGTACAGGCCTTCATTTTCATATTGTTTGGTGCAATAAATTACATCTATCCAAATGTAAATATTTTTTTTAATTGCAAAAACATATACAGATGAACAGTACATAGGACTTGATCTCAAGCTATATTTTCTACAATTGCATTGAGGTTAACAGATCCTGGCAGAAAATTTGTTCTCAGGTGTTTGCAGTCTTCTTGTACTATCTTTCAGAAAGTTCATTAAGGCACTTTTAATTAGAGCTTTTGGAAATGAATAAACGACTTACTTAAACACAAGTGCTGTATGTCAACTTGAAGCCTTTCAAAACTATTTCTGCTGTGCTTCCCATCTACCTGTGTAAAAAGATATATTATTATAAAAGTAAGTAAAACTACTAAGGTACTCAGCATGTTGAAATTATAGTATAAATCTAAAAACAAACTACTCAACAATGGAAGTTACATTATTATTGTGACTATGTTTTTGCAAGGTTTAAAATGGAATGGTATTTATAATTTTAGCTTTTCAAACTGCATTACTTAAAAAATAGGGGGGGGGGGGAAATAAAAGCTGGCAATGATGTCCCACCTTGAACCTTGTAGCTGCCCTTTCAACAAGAAGAAAATGGACATCTTTAGTGTCCTGTAAAGCTATATCCACCCAGTGGGACAGCTTTCCTCGACCGGCTCCAAATTCGACAAAACAGTTTCCTGGTCGAAGTAATTCCAGTCTTTCCATGTTGCCTAATATAGAGGCCTAAAGAGGTAAAAATATTATGTATGAATGTATTCTCAGCAATATATCCTACAATCAGCAGCACTTGCCAGAAAACCTATTAAATGGTTTATCTTTCTTTCTTTACATGTGATTTAATGATAGCAAAAAATAACTTTTTGTGATTCATACTTTATGACTTCTTCTTCTTGTTTTAAGCACTCAACTATAGATATCATAGATGCACCTTAGTTAACTGAAATGATTGACAGTCAGATAGCAGTAAACTGTGACCATACAGGATTTTCTTTTACATCTCTTGTTAGAATGTATTCCATTGATTTATTTCATTTCAAAAGTCAGAACAATTGTGAACAAAAGCTCTGTTATGCACCAACGTAAGATTTGGGGTTCAGGGAAGGCCATACATTCAGGGACATTTCTGAAAATTTCTAGTAATCTTTTAATTGACACTATCAAGTATAATCTGTAAAAAGATAAGATTAAAAAAATGGTTGACACAGAATCAACTAAAAAATAATTAGAAAATTGTATAAAACGGGGCTTAGAGAAATGTACTACCTGTTGCTTCAAATGCTTAGTAGCTGCATCTCCATTTTTGGGGTCACTCAGAGCGCTTTGTAAGGCCTGATGACAGAGGATTTGGTCCTTAATTACATTATTTATACCTGTAAATGAGATGCAGCTATGTTACTGAGTCTCAAATGAGGCTGCTGTTTACTTCATTTTTAGGAAATATATATTTTAAGGCTGAGTTGTCAGTGTCACATCAGACACTTAATCTGGCTTAGGAATTGCTTTAAATAGCTACTGTGGCCTTACATATTTCTAAAATAACCTCTTATAAGACATGTAAATATTTGGGTTGCTGTGCGTTT